CAACCCTGGGTCTCCCACTCTTAACCCCTACACCACACTGACTCTCTTGTGTGTTTGTCTTTTTGCTCAAAGCACATGCTTTGACATCCCATCCTTTATTTATTGACTACATTTCTGTTCCACCCTCCAAGCAGCTCAGGGTGGCATAGATGGTTCGCTCCCCACCGCATTTTGTCTTCAAAACAATCTTGTGAGGTAGGTTGGGCTGGAGGCTGTGACTGGTCCAAAGTTAACTAGTGAGCTTCCATGGCAGATTGGGGATTTGAACCTGAGCCTCTCAGGCCCCAGTTCAACAGTAACCATTGTCCCATGCTGCTGTCTTCTGCTGAGTCAGACCACTGGTCCACCTACCTCACTATTGTTGACTTTGGCTGGCAGGACCTTTCTGGGTATCAGGCAGAGAAAGGTGTTTGCCAGTACCCGCTACCTGAGATCCTTTACCTGGAGATGCAGAGAGCTGAACCTAGGACCCCTTTTTACATAAAATGGGCTCTCCGAATCATCACAATCGGGGGCCTTTCAAGAGATGTCCTCTTCACACACACCCACACAGTTCTTTTTTAAAAAATTCATTATACTGAAAATGTGGCTGACCACTTCAACCTGAAGATCTGGCTGAGCATGCCATGCCCACCCTGTTTAGACAGCAAGCGCATTTATGCTCTCCCACGGTATCAAATGGACCCTAATCGGCTTCAGGTGGCTCTGTGGGATCCAATGCCCCCTGGCGTCTCATTGAATGAGCTGGTGGAGGACTGGGGTAACTAATCCATTGACGACGGAGGTACTGTACCTGGGTCGTGGGGGTTTGGAGGTGGGCACCAGGCTTCCCACACTGGTATGGACACCTCTGGTGCCGGCCCAGTCGGTGAAGAGCCTGGGAGTAACACTGGATACCTCCTTATCTATGGAGGCCCAGGTTGCTGCAGTCGCCAGATCTGCATTTTTCCATCTTAGGCAGATCAGGCTACTGAAGCCCTATCACTATCCTCAGGAGAGATTGCCACTTCCAGGCTTGATTACTGCAACTCACTCTACGCAGGCTTACCCTTGAAGCTAATCCGGAAATTACAGCTGGTACAAAACGCGGTGGCGCACCTGTGCGGGCTCACGTTTGGCATGTGCTCTGTCAGCTCCACTGGCTGCCAGTTGAGTACCGGATCCGCTTCAAGGTGTTGGTAATTACCTTCAAAGCCTTATACAGCCTGGGACCAACATATCCAAGGGACCGCCTCTTCCCATATACACCTCGGAGAGCGTTATGCTCCAAGAGTCAACATCTCCTGGTGATCCCTGGCCCAAAGGACGTCCACCTAGCCTCGACCAGGGCCAGGGCTTTTTCTTCCCTGGCCCCTGCCTGGTGGAAAATGCTCCCAGTCGAGATTAGGGCCCTGTGGGATCTTCTTCAGTTCCGCAGGGCCTGTAAGACGGAGCTGTTCCGCCAGGCCTTTGGCTGAGGCAGTGGACGTCTCTATATGTCCTCCCTGAGGTGGTTGTCACCTATCCACCTATCCATCTAGTAACCCAAATAATATATACCTAGTTACATCAATGGGCTGGATTCTCCCTACGGCAAGCATGACTATTGATTTTATATGTTTTAATGTGTTTTAAATTTTATTGTATTTATTGAACTCTTGTGACTTGCCCTGAGCCCGTTGACAGGATGGGCACGATATAATGT